ATTCTCGGATTGTATTTCGCTCGAGCGATGGTGCAACCGCTATTAGAAGTAAATATAAACATATAAATATATACTATACTATACTTATACTAATATACCATTATATTATTTTCATTGTATATAAATTACAAAATTAATAATTTGTATACTATACTAATAGTATAATATACTATATTATAATATTATTTGTATAGAAAACTAATATCTTTATATATAAATATGAAAAGATATAAATATATGTAAAAATATGAAGATATAAATATATCAATATTTAAATATATATTAAAATATATAAATATATTTTTATTTATAGATTTTATATTTATATATTTATACGGATATACATTTATTTGTATATAAATATAATTTATTTGTAAGTTATTATTAAAAGATCATAGTAGTTCGAGTGGTTGGAGTTTCACCTTCAACTCGAGGTACTGGGTTCAATCACTGACAATGACAATAAACCACCTAATAATAAGTTAAGCTTCTAAAAAATATAATATAATTAAGAGATAGGGGAAATAAATATAAATAAAAACTTAAATAAGCAAAAATATAATATAATTAAAAGATAGGGAAAATAAATAATAGATATAATAAAAATAATTAAATTTGTTATTGATCTGAATCAGTGATTTGATTATATCTATTCGGTCACTGAATCGGTCACTAAAATCAGTGACCAAGGAAATAGTGACCGATTTTGCAGATTTAGTGACCGAATTTTCGGTCATTATTTAGTGTTTTTGTTGGAGTGACGGGGTCATAGAAATTAGTACAATATATATGGATCTCCATGGTGGACCCAAAGTTCATCCACCAAGTTGGGCCACACCACCTTATGGTCAGTAGAAAGAGAGCCAGAAAGGCCGAAAAACCAAAATCTAAAGTGCTACAAAGTTCATCCTCACAAAATAGGAAAGGCAAACAAACCAATTAAGCTCCAAGTCAAAACTTGTGTAACTTTATGATGAAGATAATTGAACCAATCTAGTGGCAGCAATTTTCCAACATATTCTCTGCTACCACATGGGTCATTCTGTCAAATATGTGTGAAACAAAACAAACCAATTGCAAGACTAATCTTCAAAGTCAAGAGTTATTGTCGTGAGTTGATATTGCATAATTGCCTATATATTCCTCAAGGATTTGTGACCCCTTTAGCGTGTGGCAGATGTTTGCATTATCCTCTATGGTTTGAAAAACAACTTCCTAAAATTGCAAGAACTGTTTGTGCCAGAAGTTGAGAGCATCTCATGCAACAAAATTTGAGTTAGCTAACATTTTCCAGTGTGTTCCACTAATAAAGGATCATTCATGTGGTCTCTTATCACCACCGTTATTTCAACCTGACAATGTTTGCTATTGAAAGACATCAAAGCTGAACTTATATGCTCAGTGCTAAAGTGGATATCAACTCTTCTCATACCATATGGTTATGAGTGAAAGGATAGTATGGTGTCTGCATGTGCTATGTTAGCCATTAGCCTTACATGGTATTCTCAAAATGGCTGTCATAACTATATTTTTTGAGAGCTTAGAGCGTACTACATGTATATGAACACCTACCAACATGATATATACAGTGTAATTAACAATAATCAAGTTTTTTATAAGCATGATCCTCAAATTTATTTGTATGGAATAACATATGTTCAAAAAGTTAACCTTAAATGAATATTAGTATCTCAAAGATTAATATCTAACTCTATATTAGCATTCAGTAAAAAGAAATACAAAATGATTTCCTACTCTCTACTCAATAAGTCTCTCCATGCAAAATATAAATTTGTTTACTTATTGTTTACTTAAGCCACTAGTGAAACCAATTGTTATCCCATTCTTCTTCCATCTTAGGAGTTTTTAAAATTGCTTTTCTTCACTGAAATGAAAGTGTTACTAAAATTATACTAATGAAACCATATGCAAATATGTAATTCATATACAAATCTAAAGTTACTTAGAGTATGCTTCCTTTTTCACCTCCAGAGAATTGTGTTCCGAGTCTTGAGTTCTTCTAGTCAATCAAACACTAGATGCCAAATTTGTGTTCTGAGTTTTAATTTTTGAATTATAAAAATATATTCATTATCAAGTTTAATTTCTTTCTAATTAAATGACTAAATGTATATTCATTAACCCCTAACATGTCTCACCGAATTATGACATTCTTTGATATATTGATCCACCCACAAAAAGAAAAAGACAATAATAGATCACACAATATCAAGTTTTAGGACCAACCTAATGTATAGAGTTTGGACATAGGCTTGAACATTTAATATATTTAAAAAATATACATTAAGTAAAATTTAATACATACCAATGTAGTACAAAATAGTTTTATATTAATATAAAATTTTTAAATATAGTTTAAATTTCTTAATGCATATCTTAATACATATCAACAACATATTAAATAAGAACTTCATATTTAATAATAAATTTTGAGATAGAACTATTTAATAAAACCTAACTAGATTTTCAATATTTAAGGTACATATAAAATTTAATATTAAATAAAATGTGTCATTAAAAATTTCCAGAGAGTTTGAATGTAGGGTTGTTGAATGTCTTGGTTCTTTTACATTTGGTGTTAGGCCACTGGGACCCTCCCCCACCTCTTGTTAAACTCCTCTCCAGTTGACACGTTTCCCTAAAAATTCAACCTTCTCTATTGTCCGATTCATCTTTAATCTCATTTCAAACTTTTTATTAGATCTATTTTAATTTGACTGAAAATCATTCAATAAAATAAGTGAGTGTTGTCAAAGAGGGGTTGAGACTTTTCTGTGCATTATTCTTTCAATCCTCAAGTGTAAAGAAGTTTCAATTTTTATATTAATCATTTGTGTTGAGAGTTAAGTTAATAAATATATATTTTTACTATTTTTTTTTTAAAACTTAATTGATATTTAAATTGAGGTCCTCTCATTAACAAATTACTTATGCAATTTGAAATAAAATTATATAAGTATGTGGATTAATATATTTCTTATATTTTTTTCTTTTTATAAATCAAATTTTAAGTATATGTTTTGATTGTTGTGCGAAAAAACTTCCCAAAAATTATTTTATTTTCCTAAGACTCTAAAATTAAAGGTGACATCTCATTATTAAGATAATTAAATACTTATTTTAAATAAAATTAATCTTTAAACATTATATTAGAATCTTTTATTTTAGCCTATCGTATTTGGGTAAGAGACGGATTAGTATGCATGAAACTTTTAAATTATTTTGTTTGTCTCACATATTTGTAAATTATATTTATGACAATTTCTTATTAATAGGAAGTATATAAATCATTTTGTACATGACAAATAAAATCTAAAAAAATTATAATCTGATAAATACTGTCAAAAAATAGAATATATTCATCATTATAGATCTATTTAACAAATAATTTGTTAGTTTAAATCAATATTTCGACTGAATTGTGTGTTGGTGTATGATATTGTTAACATTAATTCGTAATATTTGTATTACTAATTTAATTTTGTTAGATAAAACTATATTAGTATAGAAGATAAAACTATATATATATATATATATATATATATATATATATATATATATATATATATTAGAAGTGGTTGAATTTTATATATAAATTAGAAGTGGTTGAATTTAAATTATAAAAGTTAACAAAAATTAAACACATAGGATGTTGAATATAAAAGAAGAAATGTTGATGTTAATGTTTAATGCCATAAATAATTGTACAAAAATCAACGTGACATTAAATAAAATTATTTAGTGAACTAAAGATCACAGAATCCATAAGAGTGGTAATACTTATTCATGCTTATCATTGCTTGATTATTATGCTATTTGCTGTCACTATTACTGATTTTTTTTTCTTTTTTTCTTTTAAAAAAAAAAACTTTGATAGAAAAGAAGTATACTTTTGAACTCTTTTCTTAAAGCACTGAAAGACAACGTGGGTCTAAGAAAAAGTGTGGATTACAAAGTGTTTGATGAATAATTAATTCTTAAATAGGGTTTAGTTAATTTTAGGGTAAAAATGGAGCAAAGATGTGACATCAAATGAAAATGTTAAGATATCCATAGAAGAATGAAAATGCTATAATGGGTGAATCAGAGAGTTTCTTCCTCTTATTGCTCTTGTTATTTTTATACCTCTTGGTTAGTGCACAAACCATTTTTCCCACTCAATTTGATTACAAAAAAAAATGCCACTACAGCTGAAATTACGATTCTTTTATAAAAAAAAGAAAAAAATAAATAATATACGCTTAAAGTCTCACCTAATTAAGGATAAACATTTTTTTCTTCACTGAAAAAAGGAAAAAAAAAATAGAGTTAAAAAAGCTTATAATACTTTATGAGATTTAATAAATGTTATAAAAAAATTAAAATCTAAAAACATTGTATGTGTTCAAAATCTGAACATCAACTTCTAAATTTGTATGCGTTATCACTAATTAAGCACCTAAATTTCACGCAAAGGTTACTCATCCAAAATTTAACAATTTCAAGCAAGTTTCAGTTTGAAGAGAACACATTTTATGTCAACGGTTGAATTGAAGATGAAGACGGTGACATTTGAAGTTGAAGATTGAGAGTACAACACAACAACAATAGTAACATGAGGGGAAACCATAACAAGAAAAACACATATCATCTCAATACTCAAATTTAATACGACAAAAAGAAAATTTATTCTCGCCCCAAATCAACACTGATGAAAATGCCAGGTTCAATTCAATTCCCTCCTTACATATATCCTTCTCAAAGGTGAAAATTTTCCCCAAATTAATTGAGGGAAAAGACGTTGCGAAACGTGTTCATTTATTGCAAACGGTGTAAAAGAGCACTCAAAGATATATCTATAAAGTTAACAAATAATAATAATAATAAATATTTTACGCATCAGATACCGTTTATTTCTCACTCTCTTTTTGTGTTAATCTTGTTTGACGTTTTCTTCTGGCCAAGCAAACCAAAACCAATAAAGTGGTTTGTGTCGAGCGATGTGGGACCCAGAATACCCCCACGTGTCGAAGAGTGAAAGTGGTGCCCCACCTGTTGACGAAACAGAGTGCGACACGTATCCCTCATGGACTCTCCCACCACGAGGGACCACTTTGGAAAGGCCGGCTCGAGATCGGTGTGTAAACGGTCCCGTAGGGTCCACCCATTGCCCTCACACTCCTACCTTTGGGGCCCGCACCCACCCTCACATGACCACCTCAGTAGGTGGGCCCCATCTTCACCAACAAACAAATTAAACACAATTCTAATTTTTCACATAATTCTTTAACTAAAATTGTGTATCAAAATTATATCACTTTAATTTAATTATTTTGAACTTATTGCATGTTTCTATCGACTAATTAAAACATAAATATGTGATCATACACATTAAAAGATACATAGAAACTATAAAAATTTATTGTAAATTATTCTTATTAACATTATTTTAGAAAATTAGAAAAAAAAAAAACAACTCTCGGTAGAGTACTAGTAGTTCTGAACTTGTGGTACTAGTTTTGTAATACCCCACTGGGTCCCACCATACCCTCCACTTTTCGTGGTGACCCACACTTGCACCCACGTGGTCCCTACCATTTTTAATCCCGTGTCACGTGCGCACGTGCTCTTCCTATCTTCCACAACGACGTCGTTTACGGCGGAACAGATTCAACGTCCTCTATTCGTGCTCCTCTCAATGCTTGGAAGATGCGCGCGACATGAACTGCAACTCTTGCTTGTCGTAAATCTCCAAGGAGAAATCTCGCAGCATCTGCGTGGTGGTGGTGGTCGGAGCCATGACGGTGGCTCTTGCCGGCGAATTCGAAGACGGTGCGGTAGAGGAAGGGTTAACGTTGGTGGGAGAGGATATTGCGGTTGGTTGGAGTTGAACAGGTGTGACCATGGAGGAGACAAACGCAGAGATAGGTCGCGCTATAGTGAAGAACTGCGGCTGGTGCTGGAACGACGCCGTTTGTGGGACGACGAAGAATGCGCCTGCAGCAGGAACAACGCCGTTTGAAGGTATGGCCCACACGGGGACCACGCCCTGCGGCAACGGAATCGCGGTGTGCTGCAGAATTGTCGTCGTCGTAGAGGTGCTTGTCGTCGACGTTGCTTTTTGGTTATTTGAGCTCGCGAGGCCGGCGGAGACCGAAACGGCGCCATCGGTTACGTCCACGTAGGCGCTGTTGGCGGGTCGCTTGCGCTTCTTCCTCTCGGGCGGGTCTCCGGGTTCCGCGTCCAAGGGAGAGGTAGTCGGAATCTTGAGCGTGCCGTTGACGGACATGGCGATGGCGGGGACGGTGCCGGTACCGGTGGCGGCGATGATGGCGGGCTCGGCATGTTCGAGGAGCCAGCGGATGGTTTCACCATCAGACTTGTGTCCAAGTTCTCGGGTGAGCTGGAAGATCCGCGCCGCACATGTGGCGGGCATTCGGATCCTCCTGCCTCGCCCCTCGACTTTGGTGTGACGGTCCTTGGTGGATGCCCGCTTCTGTGGTTGGGCCTGGGCTTGGGCTTGGGCCAGGGCCTTGGACATGGACATGGACATCCCTGGCGGCACGTGCACAGCCACCGGCATGACACGTATGGCGGAACCCTCCTCCGTCTCGGGCTCTACTTTGGGTCCCTTAGGTTCTCCCAACCTTAGATCAACCTCTCCTGCGGATTCATCAGCCATGTCTTAACAATAACAACGTACGTAGCAACAAGCAACTAGTGTTTAAGGCTGTATGAATAAGATACAAGGTGGTGTTTTAGTTGAGTTAGAATGAGAGTGGTAGTGAGAATAAAACTATATATACATGTATATGTTTATATGTTTATATATATATATATATATATATATATATATATATATATATATATTTTTTTTTAGGGAAGGTGTGTGAAGAAGAAGTTGGGAAGTGAGAATGAGAGGGTGGTTTTGTTGTGTGGGGGCCCTGGTTTTGCTTACCGTCTATGATTTTGTTGTAGAAAGAAATCTACGGTGATGGATGATGGAGGCGTGGAGAGTAGGAGTACTGCACGTGATGGGTCCCATGCTGGGCATTGGGGTAGGGGAGTTTTGGTCAATTCATTCACTTATTTGGCAACTGCAAAAAACGTTAAAAGATGGAGGCCATGGAAAAGAAGAAAATGATACCAAGGCAAAAGAAAGAAATTTGGAATGGAAGAATGGAAGTGAAGTTGATAAGATTCTCGCATCATGAATCCATCATGCCCTCAACTATTTCAGGATAAGGAAAATCCTTCTTTTTTTCGCTTAAATGCGTTTTACTCGTTTTTCTTATTCTCTATTTAGCTTCTCTTTGTTTTAGCAAATTAGTCACTACATTTTCTCTTATTGATGCTTATTTGAAGTGAATTCACTTATTAATCACCCAATCACATAACGAATGTTTATAGTGGAAAAAGGGAGAGATAACTGATCCCCCAAGTTGGAATTGTTTTGAGTAAACAATATTTGCATGCAAACGATAATTTTGTTTGTAGGAACTCACTAGAAGACTATTTTAAAAATGATTTGGAATAAGACACCTTACACGTTACATTACACGTACCCAACATCTTAAAAGAAGGCATATTGCCCATACCCACTAGTTTAAAGGCGTGAATGCATTAATTAATCATGCATTTGATGGCCAACAAGAGCAGAGATTTATGCCAAAACTTATATAACACTAAATATTACATCATAGAAAGCTGAAAATTGTTGGTGAAAGAAAATAAAAAAAGTGGGGATAAACGATGTTACCTTTGGCCTAGGAGATTAAGATGAGGAAGAAAGACATAATGCAACAATGAGCAGCGTATCGGTGCACTTTTGGATTCAGAAAGTTTGTGTCAAACAATTATATTCAGAGAAAGAAAACAAAAAAGCAGAAAGAAAAGAAAAGAAAAGAAAAGAAAAAGAAAACAAGAACGGAAGTAAAATAATAACAATGAAAGACAGCGTGCAATGACGATGACTTGAAATGGAAAGTCAATAGCATGGAGCGTGTGCTTCGTGCATGTTTGTTTTGAAGAACAGTGGAAGAGGATACACATACACACAACACCAACATACATCATAGGACGTGTGAACTAGTGAATGGTTTTGTGCGTGTGGGTCTTTCACCCAATGTTTCAAGTACTTTTCCAACAAAAAAAAGTTACATTTTACTTAATATACTCTTAAATATATTTAATGATTTTTAGGAATAGAATACGAGTGAATAATATTTATAATATCGCACCATTTTTATTTTAAATCTTAAAATATCATGTTTATGAATTTTTTATTTATATACTGTTTATCTTTTTCTATTTTTATCCAATTCACATTTTAATTTTAATTTCAACGTGTTTAACTTTAGAGACAAAAAAAAAGTGATTTAAGCTAAATACTGGTGAGGGTAATTAAATTTATATTTGAAAAAATAAAACCATAAATTTTATAGTATTTAATGATATTTATAGATGTAATAAATTGATAAGGACTACTCACTCACTTAATAATCAATTAGCATGACGTCATTATGATGAAAAGCCACACAAATAAATTCTAACTCTCCTATTCATCTTTACTAAAACCCACCCTCAAAATGTTTTATTTTCTTTTTCTTTTCCTCCTTAATCAAATTTTTATTCAATTTTTTAATGTTATTGGACCAAAAAAAAATCAGTATTAATGAAAATATATAAATATTCACAGAGGAAACAAAGGTTAACCGTTTGTTTCATTTTTATTTAGGTATTATAGTAGCATTAATAAATAATGCAATAAAGCGCTGTTTTAATGAACACAAAACAAAACTAGATTTTGTAGCAAACAAAAAAAAAAGAGCATAATTCCCAAAACTGTGATATAAACATAGCGTTCACCTCTCTTTCTCGTAGCTATTATGTTACACAGTTGCTGGTAATTAAGAAGCCTAAAATATGTCACAATATGGTTTCTAGGAGTACCATCCTAATTCCATGTAAAAAAAAACTAAAGCAAAACTGTATAAAACTATCATCAATTCATCACTTGCATAATAAAAAAAAATGAAAAAAATATAAAAATGAACGAATACTGTATGCATTGATATGGATGGTATATGTGTTTCATATTATTTGTAATCACAAATTGACTATAAGTGTAAAATTTATTAGTTATTTTATTAATATTATTCAAAAATGTTTACTTTTTTTTATAATAACAAGAATATATTCTTTAGGAATTTAAAAAATAAGTTATAATTATATTTTTCTTAATATTTTAAAAATAAATTTGTGAAAAAGATATTAAAACAAATAATATTTTATACGTAACTCTAAAAGTATTATCTTTAAATATATATATATATATATATATATATGTATATATATATATAAAAGGCTTGAAACATTATTATTGTTTGAGGGAAAAAAAATACAAAATAATGTCATTCTTATTCTTTAAAGATCATTTATATATAAAAAAATATTAGAAAAATAGGAATTAATTTTTTTTATCATTTATTTTCTCATGATATAATAATATAATAATTAAAATAATTTACTATTTTAAACTATTAAATTCTAAAGAATGAGGAATGAGATGAAAAGAAAAGAGTGTTAATTTATTGTTATTAAAAAATATTTTTTAATTTAAAAATTATATCTATTTTGATAAATGTATTTTTTTATTTTTATTGATAAATATTATCATTTTTATTAATAATTATATTAAATTACTATTTTTTATTATCATAAAATGATCAAATTGGTTTTTAACTTTTTTTTCGTAGTCGTACTTCTTTTTTCATCCAAAATAAATTTTAAAAATATAATTATCAAACAATTTTTTTATTTTTTTTAAGTTAAAAACTAAAACAGAAAAATAAATGAAACAATCCTTAAGTTGTTAGACTCTTATTTTTGAAATAAATGATTTATATATATATATATATATATATATATATATATAATATATAAATACTTGAAAGAATTTTTGTTTAAAATAATATAAATTTTGTGTATGGAGGTTTTGTGGGGCGAAGGAAAGTGTTTTGGGGGGCCCTGAAGAAGGAGTATGTGGTGGTGGCGGCAACAGGCTGCGGTGCGCACGCTGAGATGCTAACCATGGACGATGGCCCACAGCCCACACAGAGAGGGGACCCACTTTATCTTCCAAATCACTCTCTCTCTCTCTCTCTGTCAATGCCTGCCCACTGTCTCCGTACGTACACTGCCGATGTGGGACCCACCTATCCCCAATCCAACGGTCCCTCTTCCCCACGTGGGCCCCACCATCCCCAAAGAAATAGGGCCATGGCCTTGCTGGTTTGGTTGGGTTGGGTGCCTCTGCCTGCCCCCTCACTTTGAAAGTGGACCACAATTGGAGAAAAATAGTGGTGGCCCCTCTGTGGGACCCACCATTATCACACCACCCTCACCGTATTCTCTTGGGACCCTCTCTAGTGCCCCAATTTGGGCATTCACCAACACCCATACCTTTATTTTAATTCTTGTACAATTTTCACATAAAAAAAGTTTAAGTGAATAATTTATTAAAATTACAGTTTTATTAGTTAAAAAATATAAAGCTTGAGAATTTATAAACAGTAGTCTTGTATCGGGTTGTGGATGGGGGGGGGACCTTTGGAGGTGGGTCCATATACCCTGCAAGTTATGGTGTAGGGCACTCCCTCTCACTTCTCACAAGTGTTTATTTTTTTTCCTTTTATAATTTGGGTGATGATTTGTGTTATTGTTTATTATGGTACCAACTTTTGGGTACTCGGAGTGACGTAATTGTTTGGTTTATTTTGATTTGTTTTGGTTGAAAGGAGATGGTGTTTATTTATTGTGAATGGTGGGAAGAAGTATTGGATTGGATGAGAATGGGGTTTTCTGATTTGTTTGGGATAGGGGGGCCCTTCTTTGCTTCTTCCACGATGCTTGTTGGAGAGTAGTGAGAGGTGGATGGTCATTGCTCACTCATCAATGCCCATCACAACAACAAATCTCACTTTTCTTTTCTTTTATTCATTAGGGTTTGTATTTTTCTTCATCTAAGATTTTTTATTTATTTATTTAATTCTTTTAGTAGTATATTTCATTATGATGTTTTAAATAATTTTTTAAATAGAGATAAAGAATTTAAAATAAATTTTTTTATAGATATTGAATTTTTTTTTTTAATTCTATGATAAAATTTGTTACATTTATAACTATATATATATAAGGGGATTTATTTTTGTAACTCTTTTTTATTGTCAAGAAAAAAGAAAAAAAGTTATATTTAAAAAAAAATATTATTATGATTTATATATTAAAAAAATAATAAATATATGAAAGAAAAACTTTATAATATATAATTAATGGAGAAAAGTGAATATATTTTAAAATTATACGAGTAAATATGAACATTCAACATCTAAATTTAGAATGATAAAAGCAGGTTAGGTTCGATAGGTCGGTGAGTCAGTATGTCTTAAAAGCTGATGGGACCAAGTTGATAGTCTTAACCCACCAACCTATTTTGTCCTGTTTTAATTAGTCCACCAACTCGATAGGAAAGGGTGGGGTGAGTCAGCTTGACTCGTTTAAAAATTATATTTATATATTAAAAAAATGTTATAATTAAATTATTATATTTTTTATTATGTTATTAAAATCTATAATATTATAATTTAAAATTATAAAAATTAATCAATTAAATTTAAATTATTGATTATAATTAATTATTTTAATACATAAATATTGTAATTTTTCAATTTATCTAATAAAAATATTAATTAACAAATTAATATTTAAATATTATTCATATAATTAAATGTATATTTAAAAAAAAATACATATAAAAAAATTTAAATAAAAAAATATTGGTGAGACGAGTTAGGATTTGCAACACGTTCGACTATAGTAGAGTCAACCCGTCTCGTCCCACTTTTGGCAAGCTAGAGTTAAAGGAGCCAAACAGAGATAAATTGACCCGTTTTATTATCCTTTCGTATTTCCATTATTTTTCTATATTATAACACCTTAAAATATATATATATATATATATATATATATATATATATATATATATATATATATATATATTCACTATCAAATTGTAAAATTACTTTTAGAAAAAAGAAATTTGTTCTATGAAAATCATACGTTTAGTAGATTAAATATGTTGATTTATGAATTTACATGCAAATTATAATAATTAAGTACTATTAAAAATACTTTTATTTTAATTCAAAATATTTAAATTTTGATGATAAAAATTATAAATATAAGGAATAAGACATACTTAGTTAATTTAAGTTAAAAATAAAGAAAAGGGCATTTTTTAGGTTGATAGACTTCAATTTTATGAAGAAAAAAATTGTTACATATTATTTTCATTTCGTGGGTCAAATACAAACTTAGAAAAAGAAAAGTTCATTTATTTTGCAAATCAAGCTTATTTAGCCTGTTTAAAATGCAAGTTTTGCTAAACAAATTTTAAAATTGAAGCCACTTTTATCATATAGTAATAGCCTCTTACCCAAAAGATTTTTGTAACACAAAAAAACTCTTAAATCATAAACACTATATTGATATATAACACATTAAAAAAGTTTAGTTAAAGCATATAAGATTTTTATTTTAATATTAACTTCAAATTTCAATGGATTATGCCTTGTACACTTTTTTTATTAGGATACAAACACAAACTAATATTAAGATTAGGTAGGAAAGAAAAATTTCTCTCCTTCTTGTTTTCATCCAACTACTTTACTTTACCAAGTTGAATTCTGTTTTGTCTGCTTTTATTTAATCTTCTTAAATATTGATTCATTGCTTTAAACCCAGATGAACGCTGAATGAATTATTATTAAATTACATGCCTCCATCTTCTAACAATGGATTTGTCTCTCTTTAATTGATGAAGGTAAAAGCAAAAAAAAAAAAAAAAAAAAAAAAGGATTTAAGTTGTTAATTGAAAAAGATTAATATACTATACTATGGCTTATACGTGTGTGCACATGTGTGAAGTTATTAAGATCTCTTTAATTTTTTTTTCAATCAATAATTATAAGTATATGTTTTTTTCCTTCAAGTGTGGACCCTAGTTTAGAAATAAAATAACATAAAAACGTGATATAGGTACATTAATATCTTATATTTAAAGATAAATTAAATGCATAATTAAAAATGTACGTTATGTTTGACATTTTATTTGGCGTAATAATTGAATTAGGATGATAATTGGTCCTGGATTTAATGAATATTAATCAAAATCTCTCACCAAAAAAGTAAGAATTTCACCTTTTGAATGAATTCGGGTGTGAATTTGATATTACACATTTGTTTTATTTTATAATTAAGATATTAAATATCTTTGAATGTTTTATAAGTATTTTTTTCTGAATTATAATAACTTTTGATGGAAATTAATTAAATATCAACACTTTTGATTAATAGTGTTTTATGATTGATTTTCGGTGGTTTTAAATTAAAATACCGTTTTTTTAATAACACATGATTGGTTTAAATGAAAATGAATTATTTTTCTTAAGAAAGTAGTTGATGAAAATTTTGAACCGAAATTAAGTCACGTAGAGATTTTGTAGCAACAACAACTGATATTTATACGTTATGAAGCTGAACCTCTAAATTCATAAGTTAAACAAATTTGTTTTGTGAAATTAGAGTCAATTTACTTGCCCACATAAATATATATATATATATATATATATATATATATATATATATATATATATATATATTTTTTTCTATTGAAAGTTATAGCAAGATATTTTATTTTGGGCTAACTCAAGCTAGTTGGGTCAATCCACCAATCAAATGCAATGGAAAAAATTAGGCATATGTGGACCGGTTTATTTAATAGTAGGGTAATGCTAACTTGTATATGATTAGAATTCGATGTTTTTAAAATTGGAGTGATGAAATACGTTTAGAGTTTAGAAGTTAAAATAAAATTTAATTGGAATGAATTTAATAAAATAAAATTTTATAATATAATAAATTTATTAGTAATTATATATATTTTAAAATAATAATAAAGATTATTAATAACAGTGTTATTATAATTATAAAATAAAAATATAATAAAATAATTATTTACAAATGATATAATATATAAGATAAAAAACTAAAAAAATATTATTTTTTTATAAAAAAAATTATATTTAAAATTTTTAATTTTTTTTATTAAAATCGATTTCACAAAAAATTTAACCATTTTTTTAAAATTTTGTTTCGATTTTTTTAATTCAATATCAGTTTAATTAAAATTTAATTATGTAAAAGTAACACCGAATTTTAAACAAGTTATAGATTAACTAATAAATACAGTTCGATTTCCAAAATAGTATTAATATATGAAAATAAAGATTTAATTCAAGTTTTAATAATTCTCATTATCAATATTATAAAAATATATTTTAATTCTAAAATTTAATTAAGAATTTTATATATTTAAATTTATTTTTATTTGTAAAAAACTAATTTATTAAAAATTAAACAAATTAAAATTGTATTGAAATATGCTTCCAGAGTTACAATTTACATCAATCAATCAAATGGTTAGAATTTTCAAGATAGGATTTCTTTATCATTCTATAATTAAAACAAGAGTCAATAATTCATCACTTTTAATACAATTATTATCATTGAAGCCATGTGTTAAATAAACTTCAGCTTAAGAGGAAAAAGTTAGATAAAAAACTAAAAAAACTTCTCCTTTAAATAAGTTAGTTTAAAAATAAATTAATTTATAGAAAAACTTATATTTGTTTTAGCTTCTCCAAATCAGATATTAAACTCACGAACTAGTTTTATATTTTGGAGAAAAAAATCTTATTTTCTTTTAAAAGCACTGTAGATAAGTTTATCCAATGAAACCTAAATAAATTTTATTTCATATAGCTATTTTAAATAAGGAACAACAAGAATGAAGATAACGCGAGAAACATAGTGAAAAAAGGAAGAATAGTTGATAATGTGAAAATGGTTGGATTTATGATTTAAACAATAAATGTTAAGAAATGGTAAATGTTACTTTCATTAATTAAAAGTTCATGAAATTAAGTACATCGCTGCCATGATGTTCTAAGAGGGAATGGAATAGAATTGTGAACAATTTCATAACAATGTACCACCAAAGACATTTTGCTCATTCAAATATGAAGTATCAAACAGTATAAATGAAAATGTTCAGGTAGTAAACAACTATAACATTACAATGACATTTAGTAGTTTACAATAAGATTGAACCAGAAGATACGTAATTTTGGTGCACAAGAATTGATGGACACTAAAATACAAATGAGAAAGAATGTTACAAGCTCAAGTTGATAGTGAAAAATACATAACTTGATGCTGCTTCAGATGGTTATCGTTTACCTTCTTTTGAGATGAAGAAAACATACTATAACATACATTTGTCCAAACATGTATGCTGATGAACTTAACAAGTTTGAACAATATACAGTTTTCTGAGTTCAAGAATCAGATTAACTTGCCAATTGATGCTCAGAACTAAAAGTGTAATCCCTCACCCACCAATACTGTATATGGGAGTAGAACAAAATCTCCCAAAGAAATATTCCAACTTATACACTGAGTTATTCACAATTAGCCATCCTTGCAAACAATTTGTCCCACAAGTGGGTTGCAGCCTAAAACCTTCTATGTCTGGGATTGTCTTGCAAAAGAAATGTTAAAGCTAGCACGGTTTGGTATTTTTCAATCATACTAGTAGCAGGATTGATATCTCTTCATCATTTGAAATATCTGGAACAGGAGATGGCATGGAAGAAGAGTAAGAATATCTATCTTTCCAAAATCTTGGAGGGCAATTAGGTGTTCGTTCTGGATTTTAAATCACGATCCTGACATGTAAGTGTATCGTGTTTGAGCTCCAATCATAAGCTCAACAAGTTTTGCTGTAACATACATTAGAAAAACATATCAACTACTAAAAGTAGTCAACCAAACTGAAATGAAGATGTCAAGAGAGTAAGACAATAAAAGGTAAACTAGGGAAACAAAAAAGGTTTGAAGCACACCTGTGAGGAATCCTACGACAGGAATAGGTTCCAAAGCTTTCTCCGTGTTTTCCAGTCTTTGCCTAAAACATTATAAAAAATTTAGAATCATTTTCTCTCCAACATAGAAATAGCACCCTGCAAAATGTAAGGTGTTACAAATGTGAAAGAAAGGAAAAAAAAAAATAAAAAATGAGAAAGTCATTGCTACCTAGTATACTTGCTGAAAAATGGATCTCTCATCAGGTAAAGAACAAATAGCAGCTTTCGCCGTTTAACCTGAAGCAAAAATATTGAAGCATTAACTCCTTAGTGGGTGGAACATTACTAGGATCTAAGAGTTCAGAATGCAGAATTAACAGCCAAGATTCGATGCAGATGATTATTAAGCTCAGTGCATCTGATGTTGTATGGTATTTCAGTCTAGAGAAACACAAACCTCATCCTTTTCTGGGGCAGACAGATGAAACATTTGCTCCTTCCCATCAGCCACTGATGATGTAACAAGTGAAAGAAAACTGTTTCCTATGCAATCAATAGCCAGCGAAAGGAACCAAGGGGTCCATGACCGAATACCATATTTTCGAATAAATAAAACATAAATAAGTGGTCTACTAATAAACAGAACTTCTCCAATCAAAAACAGAGCTCCACGCAGACCCCTTTCTGACAATATGGTGGAAAGTGTAGTTCTATCTACTCTTGAAGCTGAAAGAATGCAGCGGGAAACAAATATTAGTTGAGTATCTCATGCATTACAACAAATTACACTAATACCTAATGATAGAAATGTCTTTATAAACAAGTTACTTGTAGGCTCCACAGTTTCTTGTTGGTGTTGAACCCTGTGTAACCACACCGGATCTGACACCCTGGCTTTTTCTCCAAATCTAACTAAAGCAGATAGTGCTCTTCCTTCCAGATTCATTGGGTTTGCACCAAGATTATTTTTCATATAGCCAGGTCTATGATGACCATTGGGGTTTAAGCCTATGTGTTGTGAAGTAAAACTATTTGAATGCTCCTCATCATTAGGTGTTTCCCCTCCTTGTAGCAGCATCTTATATCCACTCTTACGAAATAAAGATAACCGAACCAATACCCTGATTTATGGTGACACAAGATAATAAGAAAAACGGATTGATGACCACATATATAATATGAATATAACATAGACTGAGGATTAGGAAGGGCCATAAGCTAAATTACATTATTCTGCTTACTTGATTCCTTCAGTAACAGCAAGGAAATTCCATTTCTTATCATCACCATAGTAATGGTGTGCCACAACTTCGACTAATGTTTCCAAATCCTTTAATGCAGATAAGCATAATGGATAAGGAAATGAATAAGGCGCAATAGAGCCTGTAATATTTTGCTTAGGAGTAGTGTCAATTATGTGTTCATTGAGAGCTGTGATGATACCCAGAATGGTTGTTACTGCATGAAATCCAATACCTTCTCAGTAAGGTACCAAACTCTATCATAGGCAAATATAGTACGACAAAAAGAATTAAAAAAATAGAGAAGGTAATTAGAATTTAGAAGTAGTTAATTTTAAAGAAAATATAGCTGACCTAGAAGAAAGTAACATGACTTTTGAAATTGCAACAAGAATCTACTTAGGTAGCAACAACAATTTGCAATAGGGATTTGCAGCAGGTAAACTAAGTTTAGGGATACACATGGATTTGCAAAGTAAATTTATTTCTATTAGCTAGTTAGAGTTTTCAAGATCAACATGAACCAAAATAACTGGACATCTAAGCTTCTTATGAAACTCAAAAGAAGTAGCCAAAAGTTATAACAATTCACAAAACCTGCTTCAGGTCCAATCTCTGATTCAGAAAACCGTTCCGGAAGAAGCCATGTTAATCCCTGTCCACATTTTCAACTCCTCATTAAACTATTCACAAACAATCTACAACTAACTCAGTTTCAACACAATGCCTTCATAGACTTGAAGAAATAGGAAAAAAAAATCACATCAAAACAGTCTGCTTCATTTATTTTCTAACACCACTTATGCTAAATATATTTTCATTAATTATAACAAAATCCCAAATTATTCAGTTTACAAATGAAATAACCAAATCATGATCATTGGTGAAAAAAACACAACAAAATAGCACCAGAACAACAATAGCCAAGTTATAAACAAACCCACAAAATTCATATCAGAATCACCGTTTTCCCCAGACTTTTGTGTGCGGTTATAATTGCCTAGCCACAATTAGTGAGTAGCAACAAACAACACAAAATTATGACCTAACTTACAAATTCACTATGGCTCATGAAATTACAACATTTAATTTAACAAAAACAATATTGTCAAATTGTTAATCCAAAAAGTAACCTTACATTAGCCAAAGACTCTAAGGAGTGCACGAACTCTTTGTTCTTCCTAACCCATATCTTGTAAGCCTCCATAGCTTCAAAACCTCCGCGAGATATAGAAAAGCCGGAAATCCAAAGCTCACTGGCAAAATCTGAAGGTATTGGAAGCGACCCAGCTCGTCAAGATGTAAACTTTCAACAGAAATTGCCCGTACTGAAGATGGGTTTCAAAAAATTCAATTAGAAAGGAGAAAACGAGGAACCATGGGATATGATCACGTGTCATATTCTGGGGAATTTAACTATTTAATCTCAGCCGTTGACTTGTACGGTCTTCAATATTTTAAACCGTTGGATTAGAGTGTTTAGTCTTAAAAACATGGACGGTTGAGATTCAGTGGTGAGCTTTTAACGGTGCAGTGAAGAGTTTGTGCTATATATAGAGATGTTGGTGTTAATTTATGTTGCGTAAGAATAAACGAGGGCTTTTGAAGTTTGATTTGGAAAGTTTGTGCGGCTTCACTCTCTGTCTCTCTTCTTTCGATCGTTTCTCTCTCTAGGGTTTTGAACTTTCCTGGTTAAACATGCAGCTGACACTTGAATTCGGGTACGTCTGTGTTGTATCTGCTTAAAGTCACTGCGTGTAATGTTTCTCAGTAAAGTTTAGTTTAGTTTTTTTTTTTTTTTTTTTTTTCATGAAAAAAAAGAGTTTTTAAATGGGGAGATTGATGTTTTAAAGCGAAAGTGTGATACTTTTCTCTGAGATTGATCATCATATTTACTTGTTGTCTTATGTTATCTGGTTTCGTTTAATTTATTCACATTGTTCTTTGATTCTGTTGATCATATGTTGTGGTATTTGGATGGTACTTACTCATGCATTAGTGGATAATTAATAGAGGCATGCACAGAAATTAGTCATAATTCAAGGAAAAGGAACGTTGTGGAAGATATTCGTGATCAAACAAACAAATGGAAAATTCAAAATAGGGCTAATTGTTTTGCTGTATATTAAAGGGAGCCTAATAGAAGTGATCATCCAGGATATGCTTAATTTAATTATTCCAAACATTATGTGAGATTAGCTTCATATCTCCCTCCTTATGTAGAAGACTGAGAAGTATAACTTGTGCATCTTCTTGGTATAAAAATCAATTTATCATAAAAAATTCTCACGAGTATAAGTTCCTTCTGAACAGTCAGAGTCTTTAAAGATAAACACAAAGATGATTCCAGATATTGAATTGATGTTCCCCATTCAGTTTATCAATTTTCTGTAGATAAAACCATAGGGAAACATTTCATATTTAGGGTTCTATTTATTATATGCAACCTTAGGCATCGCTACATAGTGCACCTTGTGATAATCTTCGCTGATAGAGTCCACAAAGCGTTTTACCTTGTTCTCTCCTCAATGTCCTTTCCCACTTGCAGTAGCTAGAACTTTCTGCTGACACCTTCGTTGTAGATGATCATCCCCTCACACATAGTGGATTAGTCAAGACACTGAAAGAACTCACTGGTATCATTGTGTCCGTCACTAACATTGTTTAATTGATGCCAATTTCTGCTTACAAAAATTATACTGTTGGTATTATGTTTGTATTAATAAGATATAAGATGTTGAATGTTATTTTAGAAATAGTTTTATGTTTTATTCTTTTTTATTTGTGTATTAGGTTTGTAAACAGTAACTGAGATTTTTTTTTTATTTTTCAGCATCATCGTATGACATGAAATGACTTTCAAATTATCTTTTATTTTTATTTTATCTGCATATAATTTACAACGGATTCTAAGGTAGATCATTCACCATCAATGGTCCACCTGAAAAGTTATTTCTGTTTTAAGTTCGCATAAAAAAAAGAAAAGAAAAAAGAGAATAGTCTCTTAACGAGAATAAGATGATTTGGAAAGAATAAAATGATAAGGTAAATCATATTTGTTTATTGCAATTATAATTAAATATTTAGATAGATTAATTGTACATTATTACCATAATACCTATTGATATAGGAAATTTAGACTCATTTGATGAGATCCAGCACTCTGTGTGATGGGATGATCATAGGCAGTGGAATGAATGATCATACTGTTACACATATTGAATTGGTGAAGGTATCCAAGGTCCTTGCCAACAAGTCGATGTCAATTTTGACTTTAAAAAATAATGGTTTATCCATTTATTAAAAGAAACTCTAGGGAGTGGATGAGGTGTGTGGTTAACAACGACAATTGTGGCAGAGAAGAAGTGGAGGGCTGTTGGTGATAGGTCAGAGGAGAAGGTGATATTTGCAGAGTATGGAATTTGATGGAGTACAATGTAAATTAATCTGACAATTGTAAATCTTGGTGCATGGATGTCTACCTTATTAGAATCCATCGTAATATAGAATTATATATCTGAGATTAGAACCTTGAGTCTTTGTGTGATCTGATAAAATTACTGAAACACACAGTGGGGGATTGGAACTTCTTTGTGACTCTAAGAAGATTCATAATGTCAATATTGAGCAACAAAATGGAGAAAACAAGGTATATACTACAAATAATTTTAACTATGATACATTGGAACATTCTTTCCTTCTGGTAACATTTTCTTCATACTTTCTCAGTTAACCATGAAAGATTTGCTTTCTTGGGTACGGACCAACTTGATTAAGGAGAGGCCTGAGATGTTCATGAAAGGAGATACTGTGTAAGTTTTATGATCGATATAATTTGAATTAAGCATTGTCAATAGAAAGAAGTTTGCTAGTTTATGAAAAGAGCAAAGCATGTTTACCATCAATTTAATCAGATGTGTATCGTAATCTTAATCCACTGGATGATTTAATGTATATACACTGTTGCAAACTTCAGATACAACTTATTTTAATAATTAAGTCAGGTTCCTCATTAACACCCACACATGAGGAGAAAGGAGTGCTTATGCTTAAACTAATTGAGATCATCCATACTCCAAAATTGCCATATGCATGTGTAATATTATAGTTCTAACTATGTTAATATTTTGGTTGTGTGGTTTGTTTTGCAGGAGACCTGGAGTTCTTGTACTAGTTAATGATTGTGATTGGGAGCTAAGTGGGCAGCTGGAGACATCCCTGGAAGAGAAAGATGTGGTGGTTTTTATATCAACCCTGCATGGTGGTTAGGACATAGATTATCAAATGGATATTATCACTTATTTGTTAAACATTGTTCAAGTGATAGTGAACCGTGATGATTAAAAAGTTTGTGGATGAATAAAACTTAAATAGTCTAGTATGCATATTGTTATTTATAGTCCTTTCACGTGAAATTGTCAAAACAAACTGTTTAATCCCATTGACCTCATCCTACCAGTTAGACCCAAAAAATAAAAAAAATAGTCAAGAAAAATAAAATAAGATTGATGGGTTAGTCTAAATTTTATTTTTAAATGAATTACTATTAATAGACTAATTTTGTTATAAATGAAAATTATTTTTTCAACATATTTATATAAAATATTAATTGAAAAATATTTAAAAATTTTAAATTATATTAATAAAATTAAATTATCTTTTAAGTATAAAGATTTAATATATAAATTATAAAAGAAAAAAATTATGTAGTTTAAAAATAAGAGTTAAGAAATTTATTTATTTATTATTATTATTATTTATTTTAGTAATTTATTAATCTAAAATAATAATTTATATTAAGTATTACATAATAAAATAAGTGAATTTTATAGATTTTGTTTTTATACTTATTCTTATAATTATTGAATTATATATATATATATATATATAAATTAATATTATATTTTTATTTAAAAAATTATTGTTATTTTAAAAAATAAATTAATTCATAAGTCAACGGATTAATTTAATTTAAAGTTAATCTTTCATATAGGTCATCATATAAATAAATAAATAAAAATTAATGTAGATTAATGTAGGTTATAATCTAAATAAATAAAAAATAATACAATTTTCTTTACCTATTTCTTAAATATTTAGAATCAATTAATTAGATTAAGTTTATTTTCATATATCTATTCTCACAAAAATTAAATTGTAATATTACGTTACAACTCTTGCAATAATGTATTATAATACTTAATATTTTGTTTCAGTTTAATTAAAATCTTATTATTTAGAAACATTAAATGGATTATCATTTAATGATTAAACCGATTTAATTATTTCAAAACAATTGGGAAATTCCTTCGAGATTGATCATCCCCTTGCCCAGAACTAAATGGGGGTGGGTAGATCAAATTGATAATATTGCTTTGCACTTTTTATACTCTTTTGTTTTTCATTATTTTTTTTAATTAGTTCAAATAAAAATTTCTTATGTGTTTCGTACTAATGATTAAATTGTATTTTTAAAGATAAAAATTAATAAAAGTTAGTCCAATTCGTAAACATTGAATTTGTACATTACAAAAATTTTGTAGAGGGGTAATTGATATGTATGCACGTGCTGCTCTTTTATCATGTTCTAGTAAACTACTCTCTTTTGGATCTCAAATATAAACAAAAATAATAATTCGTGCTAATATATATAATATGTTGAGAGTGGGATTTGAACCCACGCCCTTTCGGACCAGAACCTTAATCTGGCGCCTTAGACCAACTCGGCCATCTCAACGTTTTGATGGTGATTGTTTAAATTCAAAAGTTATATACAACAAATATTGTGGACTCAATTATAGGTAATCAAAACCATTTCTAGATGTTGTGTAGAATTTGGAGGAAGACTTAGATGTCTTGATGAATTGTATTGTGGATTTCAATGTTTACATTTATAGCAAAAAGACACTATCTTTTGAGTCAACGTTCACAGAGCGTAGTGCCAGTGGATTAATTTTCTGCACAAAGAAGCAACAATTAGCCACCATTAGAAATTTTAAGATAAACCTCTTTCTTAATTGGGTTAGGCTTTTAAAACGCCACAATTTGTTCCAGAATCTAGACATAGTGTACCAAATTCAGATTCACCATGTCAACTGGTTTTTTTCATGGATAATTGAACATTTTAACATGTCACCTTTTCTTGGAAAGCTTTAAAACAATAGAATGTTGATGAGAAATTATCCGACACATAATCTGAATGATACAAGGAATATTTATATGAAATAAATTGTTTTAGGTTTGCATTTGAAAATGACTTGTGTTGTTGGCAGCCCAACAAAGAAATAGATACTTCATCAAAATGGAACCAGAAAGGCATTGGATCACCCATTCTCAACATTCATCTATCCCTCCTCGTCGTGTCTCCAATTTCTTAATCGTTCAAATTTTATATTTAAATTTAAATTTTAAAATATTTTTTTATTTAAATATAAGATATTTTATATATATATATATATATATATATATATATATATTTTATCTTTTTTAATTTTTTATATCAATAAGTTTATTATATTATTCTTTTTTTATTTTTATTTTTTTACATTTTTATCAATCTCTTCAATCAAATATTTTCATATTTATAAATAATTATTTATATATAATAAAATACTTAAATATAATAATAATAATCTTTTACATATTTATTTAATTAATAATAATTAAAAATTATAAAATTAAACATTTACTTGTGTATAAAAAAATGCATCATATTAAAATAAATTTATTATGAAAATAACTATTTTTTTAGGAATAATATAAATGAGAATAAAATGAGATCGAAAAAATGCGAAATTCATAAAAATGAAAATTTAATTTCTAATTCAAAAAATATAAAAAATAAGAGTGGGGACGATCGAGATTAAGGGCCACCAGTTGCCATACCTATTCACACAGCATAACAACGATTGAACTACCTATGCTCAAAGAAGCTAGCAACTACCAAACCATCAGAAATTTACGCAATGTAAGACCAGTTTAATGTCCCCATTGGTTTAAGTCATGGTGAGATATTGTACACCAAATTCAACCGAGCTAATAAAATATAAGATTTTTGCATCATTGACAATTGAACATTTTAAGGTCACACCGTTGCTTGAAAATTTAAAACAAAACAAGAATATTGACAAGAAATTATCCGTCTTATAATATGAATTATGAAAGATACAAGACAAGTAAAGAATATTCATGAAACAAATTAGACTAACCTTGGCAATAATTTTTTGGGGGTTACATAAGAAAGCTCACTTTGACATTAATTAAATAAAAAACATATAGAGAATGACTTGCGTTGGCAGCCCAGCAAAGAAAAAGATGATTTTACCAAATGTAAGCTAAAAAATAATGTGAACCAAAAAGGCGTACAATGACATTATTCATGGATAGAGACCATCAAGCCTAGAGGCCCCTTCTGATTCTCTCCAATTCATCCTCGGTTTCATGTATCTGGCGTTGTAGTGATGCTAGTTTACGCTGTAACCGTTCTACATAGTCTCCTCTACTAGCTACGGATTGATATGGTGATGTAAAATGAGCAGAAAATGCTTTCAGAGCTTCCACCCCAGTAACCTATCAATTTGTGCAGGTTATTTAAGTCCAATGATACAAACGAGCAGGAATTCTCGGGCGAAATAAAAGGAAACTACTCATACGGTTTCAGTGGTTTCAAAAACTACCACTAATTTTTACCACATGTATGAATATGCTGAGTATCAAGAATTAAACAACTAACCTCTTCTGGGAGCAATGGCAGCTTGGTAATGTTAAAGTCATCATACAACATGTAAAACTGGTCCAGATATTTCTGTTGCATTTTCATTCTTGCTTTAAGTAACTTGGATTCAACATCTACAAGGGTGAAAGAATTGGAAGACAATAATATGATTCTGAAAAGAAATTACAAAAATAATGTAAGTTATCAAGGACATGACCTGAATGTTACCTTCGTCATCAAAGATTACTTGATTAATGATGATATTGTGGGTGTCAATTTCAAACTTTGTAAGTTCCTGAACCAATCTTTCTGTTTCATATAGAGAAAGGAATTCTGGAATGCACACACAGACAAAGGTTGTCATGTCCTGTAAATAAAGAAATACAACAATTTAGTTATTGGAAAGGGATTGGTACCTGGGCTTCGGTACAAGGGAACATAATATATAGCACATAATATATATAAATGAATAAATTCAAAAGATTAAAATAATGAATATTAATTGATTGTACTATAGTTCAAATAAAAACATATAAATAATATCAAATGAATAGGACCAATCTAACCATTCAAGTTAAAAAGTCAACGAACATGGAAGTCTTATTATAAGAATAATTGAAGGAAAGTAATCCAATTCTATTTAGCAAAATTATACAGACATAATGATTTTATTCAGGGAAGGACCTGGGCTCAGCCATTGAAATTGATCTCCAAAAACTAGTTGAATAATGCTTCAACTCACCTTAGTCTTTTACAGTTCTCTCACATATAATATTTATTTTTCAAATGTTAAATACTATCTAAGAACGGAAAAAACACATTTGTTATATGCCTAAATTATCAGTAATTAGAAGATGAACAAGTTAGTTCATAGGGTTTTTGTTACGTTTCAAATTTTTAGGATATTGTTTAGATAAGATAAGGACATTATTCTCATCATTTAGATTTAGAATGTTATGAGCTTTATTTTATTTTTTTTAGTGTTAATATTTGAATTTGTATAGAATTTAGCTCTCTCTATATATGGCCCATGAATAAAGATCAATCCATATACATAGAGCTAAAGTCTAATACAAAATTTAAATACTAACATTACCCTAATTTTAAAATCAAACTCGTAACATTCTCCTTTCAAAAAATAGGCATAAAAAATATAGCTCATAAAAGTTTAATAAGCTCCTCAACAAAGCATAACTTCTTTCAAATAATTATTTTCTATAAAAAACAGCAGTCTTACTGTGAATGGTAAATATAATATTTCATTAAGAGCATAATATTCATGTCATTCTGGTTTTACATTAATAATGTCAACACATGATATGCGCTACCAGTAATGTGTCAGTTCAACTTTCACCCATTATTAGATCCTAACAATAGTTGCTAAGAATTATAAGGTCAAATTCCCTCATGAACATACGAACTACAGTGCATGTGACAGGAAGGTGAGGCCTCCGAGTGTCTACAGTAGGTGAAATAGGAGGAACACAGGGGATAAGGCCCTGAATAGTAATAACAGAAATAGCAGATGGCTAACTACAGTCAGTTAGTCATTAGTTGGATGGGTATTAGGAAATGGGGTTGTCAGCTAGGAATGTCAACAGGATTAGTTAATTCTCTTGTATATTTCTTCCTTTCCTTCCTTATTGATTCCCCTATAATTTCTCTACAATATTTACTTGAAGGGATTTGAACAGCTGATTTACTAGCTAGTTTATTTAATTAACTGATAGACTTGAATAGCTGTAAAATAGTCATGTATTAGACAAAGTTCCCTTGAATAACGCTTAAGATTCTTATAAAATGGGATGCTTTCGATGATCTCAGACATTCAGTCCATTTTGATAAGGAAGGTGCAGGTCTCTCGAAAACCTATAATTTAGTTTACATGCGGGCAATAAAAAATCTGTCTTTCTTCATTTTTAGATCCAGCTCCTACCAGTAAGGTTACCAAAAGAATAAATAAAAAATTACACTTCATTCATCACCAAGAACACAAGAAAATTTACAGAGGGATAAGCAAGAAATCATCATTTTTAAAATAATACCAAACAGAAATTAAATGTAATTCTTACTGGATCTTTGAATTGCTTATTAACTTGTTCAATTACATCCTTCATGCCTTCAAGCCTCCCAAGAATTGCATCATCTCCAAAATCCTCACCCATGCCAAACATACGAGTCATCTGTGGTCAAAGTTCAAAATGGATTCCAATTACACAATAGATTATAAAACAAAGTACATATGAATCATTAGAAAAGCTTCTTCCATGTTGGGTACAGAAATATTTACACTACAAGCCTAATGTAAACTAGTATTTTAGCCTATTTGCACAGGATTAATATTTATTTTGATAAAATTAAAATTCATAATAAGTATTTTTTTAATATATAAATCATATTATAATTAAATTTTATGATATATATATATATATATATATATCTTTATTTTTAGATTCAAATACACTATTTCAATTGAAAGAGGTGGTTAAGAAAATAAAGATAAAATGTATGGAAATTAGATGGTTGATTGAAATTATTTATTTTGTGTGCAAAATACACTCCCAAATGAGAGAAGAGAGAAAATATTGAAAATGTCAAATGAGAGTACGGGGAGACGGTCTCACAACCTCACTCTGTACGTTGGGCACAATAATTTATAATATAGGAGTAGAAGCTGTCTGTAAATCGTCCAAAAAAAAGATGCTATCCATAAGTAACATAAACAATTGATTTTTCATGTAGAAACCATTTGGGCTATTAAAGGCATAATTACAAGAGTTCATTTATATTTTCTGACATCGAATGTGATGAGAGCAACGGTAATACATAATTAGTTCTGAGGCAATGTTGCTAAATTGCAGTGCCATCGATACCATTGTTCTGAAGGCATAAAATGAAACCGTTTTATTAAAAAATAGAGAAAGAGTCTGATCAGTAGTTTTTGACAAAACCAAACAGGACTCCTGTGATTCAATTCAAAAACAATGAACAACAGACATCCACACTTTCCATCTTGAATTTTTGTGCAAAGATTTGAGATAAATAATAAGGAAAAAATATTTTTGGAGAGCTTTATCAAGCGTCTTTACTCTTCTCTTATTTATAAGAAACATGATTTACAATGGAACAAAGAAAGATTGATAAAACAATCAAAGATACATCTAGAGACCTAGGTACAAATAGGTACACAGACAAACAGCTTTTTATCAAAGCCAATTCTAACACATGGAAAGACAAAATAGTAAGAGTGGGATCACCGCACTTACATGACCAGAATACATCCTTTATGTATGGAATGAAACATCAGGGAGGAAAAGAATTACAACAAGGAATGGAAAGTGGTGATTGAAGTTGAAACTCAAACAGTGAGATTTCGAAATGAGATGAGGGTTTGTTTCTGTACGTGGATCAACTAGCCAGAGAACCATCTAATTGAATGGAGGAATGGTGTGGAGGGAGGAATGAATCAAGACCTTGTATTAAATAAGTCTTCTACGTATGTTAAAAAAAAAAAAAGAAAGACCCTGTATTGCACTGATCCCAGATCCACAATGAGGGAATATAGTAGGTTAAAATTAAATTTGAAGATTACAGTCTATCTAAATATTGAAACTGAGCCATGTCAAACATTAAACTAGAAAGAAAATAATAACATGTGATGCAAATAAAAAAAAAATCATTCCTAAGTTCATACCTGATTAAATAAACCACCGAATTTATTTTTCAAAGACATCACTTTTGCGAGACCCTTTTCCAAAACTGTTGGGAATTGCAACAGTCTGAGTGTATGGCCAGTGGGAGCAGTATCAAATACAATAACAGAATAATCCATTGTCTGCACCAATCTGCAAAATTGTTATAGATCAACACATATGGTGAATAAAAGAAAATATTAAGTGGAAAAGTAACATTTAAAAGAAAGATAAAGATAGGAGCACCACATGCTTGGTTAACATGTTTCTTGATTAATTAAGCACAGTTAAGCATGTTCTGCAAATCAATAAATAATAAAAAAATTCACATAGTTGACTTAGTATGGATTAAAATTATGCATCCAACTTTAGATTGTGATATTACTGCATATTGATATTTGCATCTAAATTTTACAAAGACATAGACGGTTTTAAAAGCAAAAGGTTGCGACTTTTCTTGTATAAATCAACAGTCATCCTTAGAAGTTTGTGTGCTTTGACCTTAGGCCCATGATCAAGTATACACAACCTAAGGTAGAATACCCGTAATGGGAGTGGTCCCCTCTAATTAACTATATACCTACTAAACACTGTAGTTTTAATATTTTACACGAGTCCGTAAGAACTCTGCACTTGCGATTGCAAGACAGGATTTTCAGTAACTTACAATAGGAATATTTTTAGCTACACTATTTCATGTGATATGAGATTTAAATTAGGATTCCCAGCCTTCTATTTAATTAAATAATTTTTTTAGATGTGAGAAACTGTTTGTCATCCCCCCACTGCATACCTACACTATTATTGCAACTAACACCCCTGCTCCATCCACCCGGTCACAATGATGCCTTGGGTGTGAAAATATATGAAATTGACACGCATCTAAACCTATGAACTATACAAAATCCCATGTAAAACCTCAATGATAGTCTAAAGGCTCCTGGTTACGGCTATAACAAAAATAATTTTCTGCTCTCTGAACTAATCTCCACAAATTTACACAATCAGCAAACTTGAAAAATCAATATCCAAACATATTAGCATGTTTCCTTTGGCGTGTCTCTTAGGTGTCGTAAAGATCCTTAAGAAACAGATAAAGAACTACTACTTCAACCAGGAAATTTACTACATGACAAGTAGAGGCAAAAACCAATGAGGTCAATACAATGGCAGGTATCAACCTTATAAATCTTTCATGTAACTATGAACACATGCGAATAGTCCATTCGCGAGTACCTATTTTTAGGATTAAAATCTCAATAACAGTTTCCCCAAGGGTTTTCCAAAAGGATGTGCACACCTTCACATATCATACACTCCATCAACACCTATCACAACATCATATCCTTTATCACATCTACACTTCTCTCTCATTTTCTCTTCCTACTTCTAGACATTAATTAGGGTAGTGCTGCTGTTGATACTTTTCCTTTCCCAAAATTCTCTTAACAAGCAAGGTCATAATGATTAAATAAATACAACCATGGAACCGCCAAATAAAAATCAACCATACTCCTCTTCCTCTCCCGCACACCTCAGACAAACCAAAATTATCCACTTATCATGTCACAAACATTCCGCACACACACGCCTCAAAACCAAGTTAAACAAGATTGAATTGTCACAGTATTCTTACTTCAACATCTCAGCAAAGCTCATGGCCTCATCAATTCCGGGAATCGCGCCAGCGAGCTCAGAGAACAAACTGTCCATTCCATCAGAGCCACCCATGTCCTCATGCTCAACGGTAGGATCCACCTCCTACAATCACAATCCCAACGCACAACAATAAGACAAACTAATTGAACAAGATACAAAGCAATCCCTAGGTAAAAGGGGGATTAATCACCATGGCGTAGAGGTTGGAGAAGCCATTGACGAGAGTGGGGATTTTGGTGAAACGCTGCTGAAACGCGTCGCTGAGATTGTGAGCGGGGTCGGTGGAGATGATGAGGACGGAGGAGCGAACGGTGGCGAGGAGGATGGAGAGAATCGAACTGCATGTCGTTTTGCCGACGCCGCCCTTGCCTCCGACGAAGACCCACTTGAGAGTCTCCTGTTCCAGAAGGTTTTGAACAGTTCCCTCCGCTTGATCCCCCATTCACCTTTTCTCTTCTGTCAATCAAATCAATCAAAAACCTAATTCACCGCTTTATTCACCCCCACCGAAAAATAAATAAAAAAGATTCACACAACAACCACGGTGGCGACACTGTTTCCTTTTTCTTCTTTCGTGATTCTTTCTTCTTGGATTTCCACAGCATGCGAATTTGGTTGTAGAGTTTTTGACTTATTTTTCAGAGCACGAAACGAATCCAAATCTTGATCTCATCAATAACTCAAATTCTGATTTTTTTTAATTTGTTTAAATAAATTATTTTCCTTTTTTTCAATAAATAAAAAAAAGTAGAGTGTATTGCTTTTTAAGAAAACAAAAATTCAAAATACTATTCTAGTTTTACTGTTATAATTATTATTTATTACATAGATATTATATTTGAAATTGTGTTAAAAGTATTAATATTTTTATCGAATAAATAATAAAATATCATATTTTTTTTATATCTTAACTTTTTAAATTTAATTAAAATATAAAAATATTATTCCTCCTATTTATCTATGATTAATGAGTGATCTTATTTATTTATTTAGATTATTTTAAATTTAGTTCTTTCTTTAATTTGAAACTAAGTTTATGATAATTGTACAAACTTGTTTCTTTAAATACTAAAAAATTGGTATTGGCTCAAATTTAGAGAAGTATTTTTCTATCTTATTTGTCTAGATGATCTCTCCATTTGTATTTCTTATTGTGAAGATAGAAAAAATACAAATTCAAAATATTACTTAAAAGTTTCTTTATTGCTAGTTAATGAGAAATCTTTTGATATCTCGTAAATATGTTTATTAAACTAATATTGTTTGTAATATTTTAGTATCGTATAGATATTTTAATGATCTCACATTTTATTTCTATAAAATAGATTCACCTTTTCTTTGTTTCCTTGTAGCTTAAAACGAAATCTAAACTGATCTTAACCATACCTATTTATTGACTTCATTTGGTTTTAAAATCTCACTTCACATCAATTATCTTCTTTTCAATTGATAAATAAACCAATTCAAGTCTCTTTATTTTTTTTTTCAACAGACTTTAATTCTTCTTCTATGTTTAGGCACATGTTTGAAGCACAATGAGTAGAAAATTTTGACATACACTTAGCTTCTATCATGACTATGCTTCCTCACCATTACATGCAGTTATTTTTTTTATAGAACTTCTATATAGAATGTACATAATAATGGAATACTATCTCTCCTCACAAATAATTTTGATATATATTTTTTCTTTCATCGTACTTTGACAGTATTCAAAATATTATTGTTCCTCTATGTAATTTCACTGTGTTATGATGTATAGGAAACAATAACTTTATAGACTCCATCTATATCAAAGAACTTCTAAAACTAATTGAAATTATACTATTCAACTCTATCAATTATTAGAATCTTCAAAAATTTACCACTTTGTTTCTCATTCAACAATTTACCCTTCTTAAAATTGTCAAACACTTCACTTTTATATTTGATAAAATAAATGCATATCCTTTAAGTAAATAAATTAATAACAGAGACAAAATACCAAATTCCTCTAATGATTTTATTATTCACCTTATCATCCATAGAAACAAACCATTTTTGCAGCTTATCATATGATTTGAATGTTAGAGTGCCCCAATAATATAGTTTCAACATCAAAATTTTTATTCTTGTCAATTAAGTCTCATCATAATTTCTTAACACCTTCCATTTACATTCTCCAGCAAAATGATAATTTTTTACAATTATAACAATGTAGTAACTTTCTATCAATCTTTTTTTCTTTCTTTCTTGTTGGTGCAACATTCATATTTAAATCTTCATCTAGATTCCTCCCTTTCTTCCAATTTTCTCTAGCTTTTTTAATTTTACTTTATGTTCCTATTAATGTTTAAGCATGCAACCTTATTTGAGACTCTTAGCAAATTTATTTCACTAAGACTAATTTCTTGTACTTTAAGAATCATTTACAATTCATCAATCTTTGTATCATTTGTAATGACCTTAAAAATCGCTACTATAATGATATTTTTGCAAAATAGTAAACAAGTAAATAACAACATCTATTTTACATTATATTACTGTAATTGTAACATAGATTGAAATTCTGATTCACTAACGGAACTTCAAAATATAGTAACATAATTTATTTATATATTATACATGTAAAAGTGGCTCCCTCGAAGCTATCACACTGAACTATCCTTGTTGTCCAGTAGTCACATCTTCATCTCTCAACTCCTGATATGCTCCCACATAAAAGTGATCATCGCAGTCCCATCCACATGGAAAAATAGGGGTAAGTATTAAATTATTCGATATAATAAAACAGATATAGAAGTAATAATTATATATTATGATCAATTACGAAATTATCAACACACTAAGACACCTTCCGGAAGTATACCCTAACTATGCCCGAACTCAGAGGCTATCATCTGTGGGCACATTGTGATCGGTACCCGCAGTACTATTCTGACCACCCTCCACACAGAGTAGGATTACTGGCGCCCTTCATCACTCATACTGGAGTACCCCTCCGAGCGCGCCACCAGTCATCCCTCCATCGACTTCTCACCATCTGATCTCGTAGTCTACCTGACCCGACCAATTAGTGAAGCCTGAGACCTCATTCAGAATCCTCCGACATAGTTATTACACTAATGTACTTTGTACCACCCCGAGTACCATTCAAACATAACAAAAATTATTCACATTTGCCGGATTCTGGACCACCTGTCCTCACGGCTCATTCGGGTCAATAAAAATAGTATTTGACTGATTTTGGCACCAACACTCTGGCTCAGTCTAGCCAATATATAACATCTCAGGACTGATTCTGGGCATCAGCCCTCAGGCTCAGTCTGACCTACACACGTCACAACACACTACTTTCATTCTCTCTCTCTCTCTTTATATATATATTTTTCTAAAATCATTTTCGAAATTATTTCCAAAATCATTTCCGAAACTATTTCTGAAACTATTTTTGAAATCATTTCTGAAATCATTAAATTACTATTTTGCCCTTAATCTTTTCTTAAATTTCCATGTATGTCCCTAAATGACTATTTTACCCTTGGACATTTTCGAAAATTCCTTCCATATCCTGAAAATGACTATTTTGCCCTTGGACATTTTCAAAAATTCCTTTCATATCCTGAAAATGACTATTTTACCCTTGAATAATTTCAAAATTTCCATTTATGTCCCTAGGATGTAAAGTGACTATTTTGCCCTTGAACATTTTTGAAAATTACATTTATGTCCCTAGGATGTAAAATGACTATTTTACCCTTGATCTTTTTAAAAAATCCTCACCATATCCCTTTCTTCTTCCTTCGCCCAGTAACAGTATCGAATTTTGCAAATTTTGGCAGATTTCAAATTACTCAGTTTTAGACAACCAAACTAGTCTCAAATCGAAATTAAACATGAATTATATCTAATTTAAGTTGAAAACAAAAATTTTACCATATAATTCATCCTTAATTTTAAGAATTTCAAAAACTTTTAAACCATGAACAGTGCATCCAAAATCAGAAATTCTTCAAAATCAGACATTCAAATAATTCATATCTCTACTCCTATTCCTTATTCACAGAGTACCCAGCAATTCAATTTCATATATTGAATGAATTAAACTGGTATGATATTTCTACCGAAGCTTTCCCACTTAATTCAAGTTCTCTCCCGTTTCACCAGATCCTGCACGAGTAGAGTCTCGTTGCTTGAAATTTAGACAATAGAAGAAGAAGAATGAGGAACATGTGATATGAGAGGAAGAATTTCCCGCAGAAACCATTCCTCCCCCCTTCGAACATATAAAAGAAAATATTTTATTGTGCATGAGGAAAACTTCGTTACGAAGTTTTCTTGCACAGTAAAAAACATACGTCACATCATCAATATTTTTTCTATGTTCAATTACAACAACCTTAAAGTCAATATCAAGGTTTTATAAAACATTGTTTCGAAAGGATAAGAAGTGTTATTTTTGTGAGCAGAATAATCACTTCAAAGAGTGTCCTAAAATGAAGAAATTGTTAAAAAAAGATATATTCATATATTTATAAATTTGAATAAAATATTATTGAAGTATCTAATAATATCCAATATTTTGTAAGAATTCCTTTTGATTAAAACCATTAGGGGAAATGAGAATTTACTTTAGATGGGTAGTAGAATGATGACAAGGATAAATGATATTAGGGCATACAAACTGATTTTAGACACTTAATGTCATATAGTTTTTATTACAAAGTTGGATAATTATGATTTCATTTTAAGATTGAAAAACAAAAAACCTCCTAGTTTAATGTATATTATGTTATTGGTAATAAGTATAATGTGCATGATTATAATTCTAGTTTGTGGTATTAAAGAATATGTTAGATATCCAAAGAAAGAACAACATGGTTAATGAAAACTGAAATTTTAGCTAAATTGGATTTTGATGACTATGATATATATTTTAATTGTATTAAAGAAAGCAAACCAAGCAAATATTAAAGAATTTTGCTACAAGAAATAATGAATTTTTATGATTAATACATGTTACTATTTGTTTGTCTTTTGATATTTCAATTTTGGGTTGGGAAAAATATTTTATCACTTTTATTGACGGTTTATTACATTATTAGTTTTGGAATCTTATGCGTGAAAAATTTGAATCAATATACATTCTAAATATGTTCATTGATGAGATAGAAAGAAACTTAGATAGAAAGTGAAAATTGTAAGGTCTGATGAAGATAATGAATTTTATGAAAATTAATGAAAATTAATAATGACCAAGTTCATTTGTAAATCTTCTTGAAAGTAGAGACATATATTCTCAATGTATTATGCTGAAGAGATCTTAATAAATGGGGTTGCTAGAAGATAGAACCTTAAATGTCCGGGTTCATTTTTGTATCTTTGTTTTTGTATACGCATACGTTAAAGGACATTATGTATTTGCTTAACAAGATTTTTAATAAGATAGGTTTTAAGATCTCT